ACATACTTCGATTCTCATGGGAGGCAAGGGGGTGAAGTGCAGGTGCTGCAATAGGAAGGTGGTGATACGCTGATCCAGCTCTCCCTCAGTGGCAGCACCTCCCTGCGTGGTGTTGGGAACAAAGGAGGGAATAAGCTGTACTCATAAAGGCATGTTACAGCAAGGAAATTTCCTTCCTCTAAGGGGCTCTGGCAGATGCCGCACCTTTGAAATGGTCATGCTCAGCTCAGTTATTATTTTACAGGTGGACTGAGGCACTGAGGTGTTAGCAGAGCCCAACATCCTGAAACACCAGCAAAGGATTCATGTTGTTGGCATCAACACCTGAATTCACCCTCTGGTCGGCAGGGACCAGGCACTTGTGGCGTATGATTCATCTCAGCCTGAAGCCAACATCTCATGCACATCAGTTGAATCACACCCTAAACACATCAGTTCCTCTCTACTGCCTGTAATGGAAGCTGGTGGTGACTGCTCCACATCAGACATCCATTACGAGCATCTCACCTTTGGGCAAGGCCAGAGTGCCCATAAACTGCCTTGGGCTGAGCAACCAAAGGGCTGGCCAGGACAGACCCTCCCCTACCCGGGGGCTACTATTTCTATGAAATCAACTCCAAAATGCCCAGATTTTCTTTGCAGAAGTGAAAAAGAATTTGGCATTTTTATAGTATGTTTACTTTTCATAACCCATCACTGGTATGGAGATAGAGAAGACGATAGAAAAACAAAATAAAATAAGGCCCAAGCTCATTTTTCAGCAAATCTTCTGGCACATTCAGACTTTTCTTTTTCCTACGTAGAATAAAATACAGAATTTCAGAGTGCTACAATTTGCCAATTCCATGTTTCAGCCAGCTCTATCAGATATCCCAGGTGGGGTCAGACCTTTTGAGCTCATTTACTACCCAGCAGTAAAATGCAGTATTATCAGCAAACACGCAACTAAGCTCCTCTGTACAAGCAGAATCTTCTACCCTGACCTGCCAACTTCATTCCATGCCACATTGCTCCAAAGAGACCAAGACCCAGTACTGCATACAAGCAGCGTGCAACGCTCTTATTTGTTAGATGATCTTTCCATAACAACATTTCTCCTTGGAAAGTCAAGCCATCCTAGGGAGACTGCATGGTAATTGCACAGTGTCTTTTGTGTTCACCAGTTTCTTAATACTGGGGTGCCACAGAAGTAACGCTACCCTGTCTTTGTTCTCTTTCCCAAAGAGACTTTAGAAGTACAAAACAAGTAATTAGTGTCAGATTGTTAATGACCTATCTCGGTGTGTCTGACTGGAATGAGTAAACAGAACATACTTAACATTGCAGGTGCAGATCCAAGGACAAAAGCAAAGTGGAAGAAACCCATTACCCCTCCCTCCTCTTTTCTCTCTCTCACTTACACTCCTTTTTCCATTGGAGCAGAATAAAACCCTTTTGACTATACAGATGCTCTTCCTAAGCATTTGCTCTGTCTGGCCACCCCCAACCACTTGGGGTAACTGAACAAAATATGAGCATATTTGTGAGCTGAAACTAGAAGACCAGCTTTCACCTCTCCTCAGCAAAGCTTTAGATTCACAGATCCCAAACGTCCTTGTTTGGACACCAGCAACAGCAATTGCAGCAGCATCCCCCAGCTCTGCGTACACTGGGCAACACTCCCCAGCTGCTCAGACAGCTACACAGGCTTTCTAAAGCAAAAAGCCGTTTGTTCATGCTAGTGGACAAGTACCAGCATCTGGACAGGCCATCCACTGCATATGGAGATGGCACAAGGACAGGAAACAGGGTATCACCATTTAGTTCCTTTACATTCAAAATGCTGTACAAACATTGCGGGGTGGCTGGGGGAGACACAGCTGTAGTTTCTGGGTGAGTTGGCCTGCTCAGAATCTGTCTCAGTAGATGACAGTTCCGGCCTTCGCCTTATGTTTATACTGTGAGGCCATTACCCTCTCTGGAAAGCCCATCACTCCAAAAGGACAATTAAGCATTCAGCCAGTTAACTTAAGAGTACAATAGAGTTCCATATGGCAGAAAGGAGATAACCCATGAACAAACATTGGAAAGCAGATCCTTACCTCTGTTCTGCTGCAGAGACAAGGCCCTCTCCACCACCTCCTAGGCATCAACTCCCTCTCCCACCCAAGAAGGGCAAGACTGTGATACTTCAGCTATTCTCCACAAATCTGTTAAGTGTAGCCTTACATGGGCCCCAAAAGCTGCTCTAATTTGGAGGAAGGCAGGCACAGCTTTAGAATAGCACACAGAATCACAGTATGATTGAGCCTGAAAGGGACCTTTGGAGGTCGACCAGTCTAATGCCCCTGTATCGTCATCCAGATCATTAATGAAGATGTTGAACAGGGCTTGATCCCTGGAGTACGATGCTAGTTACTCGTCTTCAACTAGACTTTGTACCAGTGTTCACCACCTTGAATGAACACGCACACAACAGAATGGCCTAAAATGACATCCATGTCTAGAGGTTAGCTCTTGTTTCACATTTCTTAGGAAGCAGTAAGGCTTTCCCTGACCTCACTGTGACTGGTTGCATGGTATTTCCCACTTCTAAGAGGGCATGAAAGACTCCAATAAACAGGAAAGCACTACGTAAATAAAAAGAAACCCAAAGACTTTGGAATGCCTACATTTTTTTCCCCAACTTCATTCTCTCTGTTCTTCAGTCTCATGTCTTACTTGGAAAACTAAAATGAGAAGCAGGAAAACAACCCTTGCTCTGCTCACTAAAATTTCATTATTGAAGCTGTTGTGAGAAATTAACACTATCAGGAAAATAAAGAAGAAAAAACCCAAACAGCCTAATACCACTCTAGCAAATACAGAGCAGCCTTGGTCAGCCTCATCCGTAAAGCCCTGTCACAGAGGACAGGGAACAGTACCAGCTGCATATGGAGTAGATCACACTGTCATTGGCATCATGTTTTCTAAGAAAAGACACCCAAGTTTGTGCTTCCAGAAGATTAACCCTAATCCCAAGTGTGGACATGAGTGGAGTAGAGGAAAAATTCATCATGCTTAAGGGTAAAACTACTGTATGTATCTGGCTACAGACTTCCACTGTCCTCTTCATTACACTCGTCAGAGTATACTCTCTGATGGAAAGACACATTGTCAGAGTTGGAATGATTGTGTTCTTCTGAATTATTTCCTTACAGCTCTGAACTACTTTATAAATACAAGATATGGGAAGCTTAAAACCTCAGAGCAAACCAATTAACAGACCCCAAATATAAATAATATTAACAATTTGAAATGTCTAGTACATTAGTCGCACTTAGAAGCAAATTACGTATTTGTTTTCCTGTTAAGATGGTAGTAAAAGTGGCAAATAGATATAAGAAAAATCAGTTGTGTACAGATGATAGCTGCTCATTTTGAATATAAAATCACTGGTGCATAATTGAAGTTTTATAGAAGTCAAAGACAAAATCCACGGTAACTTCAGCATAGCCATGCAGAGAACAGAGACGATATCAATCAATAAAGGAAACCTCCATTCCCTTTGAGTAAAAATTGCTGCTAAGATTTCACCAAAACCTCTCTGAAACACAGCCAAGGAAGAGGGTATCAAATTCATTAGAGAGCAAAGGTTTGCTTAGACACCTCTTGGGAACTCACCTTCTCTCTCCTCTGCACCAGCTACACATCTGTGCAGTTGAGTATTCCCTGGGAGCAGCTTGTGAGCTCCTGCCTTATATTGCAGAAGTCATTCAAAGTTCTTTAGACCCGTATGTAGCTGGGCTTTGTGGTTCCAGTATAGTTAATACAAAAGGTAACCTGGCAGCCAACTATACACACATGGTTTCCTTTTATCTTTAGCACTATATAGAGAGTGAACCAACTGATTCTGGAAACACAAATTAGTTCCCTGTGAAACAGAAATTAATCCATTTGCTTTGACCACAAAGTGGGTACGTACTGATAATGGGGGCTCTCAATTCATTCCATTGGTGTCAGTTAGAAACACCTGAGCATTTTTTTAGCACAACATTACCACTCTGCCTTGCAGTTTGCTACCTCAGATAAACCCCTTGCTGGGCAGACTGTGGTTCTTCTTTCCTACTGTCTTCTCCAAGAAAAATTACAAATAATTTGTTTATACATATAAATTAATTACTCGGCTATCTGAGATTGGAAAAACTTCACCTTGCTACTGTGAGATTCCTTTCCCCATACATTTTAATAAGGCACAAGTGATTCCGAAAAAATGCAGAGAGCTATAATAATGAACAATAATCCTATATTATTATTTAAGTTGTTTCCAGTATTCCAGGCAGGAAGATGCTAGCTATTCAGGTAGTAAAACCTAATTGTCTATAGTGCTTTTTTGCAAGGGTTACATTTAACTTTAAAAAAAAAAAAAAAAAAAAAAAAAGCAGTGACAACCTGTGGGAGGAAGGGGGCACTAGATTGGATAGCTAAAGCTCAGATTTTATATTGTGATTACTGTGTGTAAACACCAGGCCCTCAGAAGTGACAGGTATTGAAAAGAAATTTGAGTTAAGAATCTCAACACCTTGCTCAAATGCTTCTGTCAACGCAGCAACCTAGACAGGTACATATCCACAGACTGACCCAGCAAATTAAGAATTTATTAGCAGAAAATATTCCTGTATTGACTGATCTATTACTGGTAGTCTTAATTAATTACTGGTATTCTTAATTAAATAGAGGTCTGATTTAAACCACTATGGCTAGAGTCACCTCACACTGCTGCTTGCTATTAGAGAGCCATCAACTGTAAAAAGCATGATTATGCTGCACAGAATGCTGCTTTTTGTCTTTTTACAGTAAGACATGACTTTCATCTCAGACAGCAGCGTGACAGAGGGGCTGCCATCTGAATCACACAATGACAAGAAATGAATGGAAAAAGGGAAGGAGAATATACTCACGTAATTGTGTGTTAGCACAGAGAAGACAGAAGGAGTGGAACGATACAAACAGCAGCTCCTCACAAGCAGAGTATCAATTACCTTTGGGCGCTTCCATTCAACTTTCCTTGGTGGCGCTGATTGATAGAAAAGGGACTCATCTGAGGCTGGAAACTCAGGATCTTCGAAGAGCTGTCTCTGCTGGATACACTGCCCTTTCAGCTCGTGGTACTTCTGATCTCTGAAGAGTTGCACTGATGAAGACATATCTTTCTGTCTAAAGATGAATATTGGCTTGTGTAAATTATGAATGCTCTTTATAGTTCATAGATGATACCACTCAGAGCATGTAACTTGTTCTAAACAAGATTAATTACTCATTTCTGTTTAAAAAAAAACATACTATAAATTAAATTATGTCATGTAGTAGACTAGAAGACCATAAAACCAAGAAGATCTTCTATATTAGGATGGTATTTTTGGCTGAAAAGAATTTTTATCAGGAAGGACATTAGAGTGTCCAGACCAGACACAAAACCAGCATTTTGCTTTGTCTAATTGATTGGGAAGGTAACAGAGTGGGGCTTGGCTCTCAGTCTGTACCATGCGTGAAGGGCTGGACCATCTTTCTGTTCTACATTCTTCTTCTGGCCACTAGAGCTGTAATTATCTACTCCAACTCTTATGCCCAAAGAAAACCAAAAACAGATTTCCACTGTTCTCCATCATCATTTAAGTGCCAATACTTTGGCTAGTATTACTGTCTTTGAACTTTATGTTATATTTCAGGGAACTAAATTACCAGAGGCAGCAAATATTTGCAAATAATTGATGAGAACGGAAAAAACCAAACCAACAAACAAAACAAAAACTTCACAACAACAAAAAACCCAAACCAACTTGCTCTCAGGCCTTAGTTCCTAGAATCATGACTATCTAATCTGGCAAGTTTACAGTCACAGCCATAGAGCCCAAATAAATTTCTCTGAAACACTCTACAAGTCAGAAATCAACTGCAGAAATTATTCAGGATAGTCTGAAGGACATGAGGGATGCTACCTCTTTCAAGAGAGGGAGTGGACAGAGTATCTGAACTTACTTTGTTCAGATTGCTCCTGTGTGTCAGTTCCTCTCCTCCTCCTTTCTGCCACGGGTTAGGGATGTATCTGCCCTTCTTTGAGTTATCTACAGCAATAAAGACAAATTTAGGTTGTCTTGATGTCAGATCATAAGAACTAAACAACATGCACGCAACAGAGCATGGCATCACATTGTTCTAGCAGCCTACTTGCTGTGCTCTGTTGCGGTGATCTCAACTCATGCTCCTTAAGGCACTTGCAGCACAAATTGGATGAAATTCCACAAATCTGCAGAAAACTAAACCAAGCCTGGCACAAGCCTTTCCAGGCATGCAAGTGAACACAACAGGAGAAGCACAGAAAAGTAACGAGGAACACTTGGAAATGTCAAATTAATCATGGTCTTTGTCCTTGTGAGTGAAAGCTACTGTGGCCAAAATAGTCTAGGGATGGTTTTGACACCCTCTCCCACCCCTCTCTCTCCCTCCCCTCACTTCTCTCCCCCTTGCCTCAAATTAAATTAAATGGTCCTTCAAGGATGAGAAATGCTGCTCTAATACCTTCACTAATGGGAATAAGAAGAGTATTCAGGAGTGCTTTTCTACCTTGTTGCCATTCTTGCACCCATTCCAAAGCCTCGTAACCACAGAGTAATCTACCACCTGAGTTCTACCAGCAGAATCTCACACCGCAAAGTGACAGGACAAAGAAATAGTTTATTATTGATATTTTGACCAGCTAAATCTTCAAATGCCAGCTCATTCTCCATTGTTACTCAGGGCAAAAATCCAGCAATGAATTTTGCATATATCAGGACTGTAACAACTTTGAGTCAAATCTTGATGCTGCTGGAATTGATGGAAAATTTCCTATGCCTTCAGCCAGGCCAAAACTCCCCCTTTCTAGAACTGGGCCATGAAGCCCCTTAGTGACTGTGTTATCCAGCTTCAATAAAAGAGAACAACATTTGGATGAACTCTTCAAAGCCAAATGGTTCACTGATACTACGCCATTTTTAGCAATTTCTTTTCCTTAAGGGTTTTGCCTTGTTAATTATCTCCCTCAAAAAAAAAAAAAAAAGTCACAAGGCATCTCATGTGGCAGATGGCCTCCCAAGACAAGCCAAACAGACTTAATTCCCCCCACAAAGCAGTTCTTCAAATTCAAGTGCAGAACAACTTGTCAATTACACAAACATAGCTCAGGGACCAAAAAAATTAAACAGTTTGGCTAATTTGGGTAGGATATAGATTATTTCATGATAACAGGCATTCTTACTTACTAAAATTCCCCATGAGCTAACTAATACTCTAAACCAAGACTATTTGCAAGATATGCTTGTTTTTAAAATAGTCCCTGGTTGATAAGGTTTTCAGCTGTCACTGCCTAATTCACAGAGATAGGCCTTTAACGACCTCATTCCCCCCACCCTTTCTCCCCTTCTATCTGCTGGACTGGAACGCAAGTCCTTCCAGGATTAACACCCCATTACACAACAGCCAGTCCCACAGCAATGCACAGAATGTGGTCATAAAGCACAGCACATGAAATCAAGCTGCTACCTGCCTCACCCTGGGCTCCACAGGGTAGTGCTCGCCAAGGGGAACACTGATAAGGAGGAGGCTTCTCCTACCAGACTGTTAACGTGCCCCTCTCCATGCTCCCTGTGCCATCCTGAGTGCGTGTGTCTTAGAAAGGGCTTGGGTGCCCAGGGCTGTCCAGCCTGGCTACTGGCTGCTTTCCTTTCTTCCATGAGACACTGAGCTCTGAAGCTTATCTGAAGTCCCATCACCATCCGGTGAACTACTAGAAACCTACTTTCACAGGAACCCAAAAGCACCCTTTTGAAAGACAACAGGACTATATTTTTTTCTTACTGGAAAGTTAACGGTAAAGAATGTAAATGCAGTTTCTATACAACAGCTTAATTGTTTGAGGGCTGAGGACGGAGGACCACAGCAGAGCACCACCTCTCCTGGGGTACTAACCTGGCCTAACCTGGCTGAAGCAGAAAGCAGGCACCTGGTTCCCACTCCAAGGTTTATTTTTGAAGCAGCTCCCAGTTTTTGACACTCAGTTGAACATCAAAGGTCCCAAACTAAGAACCACACTCCTTCCTCCTTTCTCCAGTTCACAGTAGCACAGCTTCCCCTGCTCAGCACCCAACAGATTTACCTCTGGTTCGGCTGACACCACAGTGTACAATTGCACCGAGGAAACACCAAGCCTGGCTTGGCAGCCGCTGCTTCCAGGGCTCCCTGTGCTCTCACGTGACGCAGAGCGAGCTGTAACGGGAGCTAAGAAACACCGTCCTAAAAATACCGTACCAAAGTTCAGAGACCTTCTACTGCTCTGTAGAGAGAGAGGGACCACCCCAGGGGAGGGACAGAAGGGAGAGGAAGTAGGGAAAAGAAAAAAAAAACAGCTCTACAGGTCAGCCATTCTTACATTTTTGGTTTATTTCCCTGACAATATGCAATTACAGTTTTGCTGCTTCTCTTTTCCAGCCTCTGAGCTGAGCTCCCCAGCACTTCATCTCTCTGGGTGCACAACACCACCACAGCTGACCCCAAGGTTTCTACAGCACTATGGCAATCCCCTTTGATATCAATAGGGGCACCGGAGGGCCCATGTCTCTCAGCTTTCAATCACTGAGCTTTAAAGTCTCTCTCACACCTGCTCTTTTTTCCAGTGAGATTCCTATTTTGATCGGAAAAAGGATTTCAGCAGAACGGCAAAGACAAGCCAGTGCAGGTCCCCTTTTCAATCAGGCTCTGCTCAGAGTCCCCTCCTCTGCCCGACAATAGGAGCACTTTGTTTTCACTTACAGTTAATACTCAGATGTTTTTTTCCTGTCGGAGCCAGCAAGAGTACAGCTAAATCGCATTCAACACAGTAGCAAATACCAGCTCCTGGCATTATTAAAGAGACATTCACTTGAAATCCAGTTCTTCACAAGAACATTAAGACAAGCTTCAAGTATTATTTACACTACCCAATAGAATTTCTTTACATTCACATTTTCCCATCTTAAACTTTCTCTTCCCCAGATGCAACATAGAAGCTCCACAACAAACAAGATGAACTGTCCAGACATGCAGGAGTGAAAATTACACCCTCGCTACCATTAAATTCTTGCAATGAGCAAAAAAACTAACAGAATTCATCTCTTCTCAGTCCCTTTTTGTTATTCTGTGCAACTAAGCAACACACAGTGTACAAAGTCCAGGCGAGAAGTTATTGCAGCTGTAAAGCCAACTGCAGCCCTCCGCAGCGAGCCAGCTTGCCTGAGAAAGCATCCCTCCCACTCCCACCCCTGCAGGAGGGGCACAGGGATGGCACAGAGCTGGCTCTGCCTTAACAAAAACCAGCGCTTTCAGTCCCAAAGGCGAACAGTGCCAAGCAGCTGCAGTGAACTCTCTGTTCTAGATGAAACTCCTCTTCAGGGAAGACGCTTGGCGCGTTGTAACACACAGATTTTATCATGCCTCTCACTCTTCTGTTCCAGTTGCAGGACTTAAAGGAATTTTCATGCTCAGCACCAGGACTAAAAGGGCAAAGTTAATTTCTAGCCAGTATTTAAGGCCACAGTTGAACGCAGCTTTGAACATGAACCTGCTTCTTCCAGTAAGTGGATCCTGAGATGAAACCGCCCGAGTCCAGGCACAGCCCAGCCTCAGGACCACATTCCTGCTGTTCCACGAGCCCTGCTCTGGGAAAACCATGGAGGGATGCCAGAAAGGATATGCACAGCATATGCCATGCTCCGGGGTAGCATCCTGGCTTTAAAGATTATTATCCATTTGGAGGTACCAAGCTTGCTTTTGCTTCATGTGAACAGTAGCCTTACCAATAATAATAACCACCAACACCTGGTTCTGGGGGTTCTCTGTCCTAACTGCAGTTGTGTGCCTGTCTTAATGCACAAGCACCTCTCAACTCTGTTCTTTCAATACTCACTTATCACCAAACCTCAAAACCACTGTTTGGACTGTGGCAGCAAAACAGGGACTCAAATATTTAACTGTTTGCAAACATAGCTTAGTATTTTTCCAAACATCTCTTTCTCCAAACTCATAGCTTGCTTCAGAGCAATCAAATGAGCGAGTGCTTCCAAAAAAGCTGCCCTGCAGCCAAGAGCTTTAAATTACTCTGAACTGGTTTTCTGTAAGACTAATTAAAGGCACTTCCAGGGCTCCAGCTGGAAAAGGTTATTGCCTTCTCTTCCTGTGCAAAATGATCACAGATCTTCACAAAGCAGTGACTTTGCAAATTTGTATTAAGAGTGTGGGAGAATTTAAAGCAATTGAAAAGCTTCCACTTCACATACACTGTGATTTTGTGATCATGGCTGTTAACGTGCATCTGAAGCATCACTACCCATAACACAGAGCATCACTACTGGAGAAATTTACTCATTCAATTTCTTTAGACCGTTCAACGCACTGACTGCACTGGAGTCTTTATGCTGAATTGGGTATCCTCTCTTCTTCTGCATAAGCCAATATAAAAGTACAAAGTCAGCATTAAATCTGTATTGTGTGGATATGCAATTGCACTACTAAGCGCATATTCAATTTGGATCAAATTGGCTGCACAGGAGAATGTAATAGCAGCCGGTTCAGAATTAATGATCATGGTCCCAGGGCTTATCAGTTCGTTTAGATGACAATGCTCTCCCTACTTAGATGAAATACTAAGTTTTATTGCATGCTACAACTGTGCAGCATTAGCCCTTCTTTCATCCAGCTTCTGGATTTTTCAACAAAGTAAGGTTGATTAGGCTATTTTATGGCCTCTGTAACAGTACTTTAATAGGCATATAAAGGTTTCTCTGTCTAGCTCAGCTCAAGAGTTGGATAAGGGAAGGAGACATAAGCATTTGTCTTCACATAGAAACGAGGAGGTGCCAACATTGCTCTGCTGTACAGTTTTGCCATACTTAGCATTAACATTTAGAGAGGAAAACTCACATATTTTTGTCTGAGAATATCTGCCCATATCCTATCACTTCTGAGCAGAAACGCAGGGGAGACTAACTGGACACCAGGAACAGACTGGCCACAACCCATTTGCTTTTATGGATGGCGTCAAGGACTGGCAGAATCATCTGGCCACAAACCAAAGCTTTACTGCAATAAAATTAATCACAACACTTGTACTGTAACATCATGACACTTAACCAGGCTTTTCTTTCAAGTCTTACTGAGACAGAGAGACTTTCTATAGCACTTTAGCTGGGAGTTTGTACTGCAAACTGTGTCCGAGCCAGAAGGCTCAGTATGGGGAGGGGTGTCAGTTCAGGACCAAGCTTGCCATTCCCATAAATCCAGGAGCTGAGCAGGAGCCCACCAGGAACCCTATCATTGATTTTCACAGCTTGTCCTCTTTCCCACCTCTCTTCTAGTCAGTTCCTGGTGAGGAAAAAAAAAATGCAAGCCCATTCTTACCCTTCAGGAAGGGAGTGCTGGAGTCGGGGCTCACACCCTGCAAACACTCTGCAGCCCTTTGGGGTGTGAGGTGCTGGGTAAACGCACGCTGCAGCTCCCACCCCACAGGCACAGCTAGTCCAGCATTCAGGGCATGAACCGGTGGTGCTGGGGCTGGACAGCTGAGAAAAAGTGCTGAGAAAAGCTGCACTTACAGGTGATTATTCCTGAAGGGGAAGGATCCCATCTGGCACCAGCAGAAGGAAGCTGAATTTGTAGGGCTTACGTTCAGGTGCGTGTGTGATCTTTCAGCTTGAAAACTGAGTGAAATCAACACCCATGTATGCATAGGATTACTCAGCAGTACAATGCTGATTTCACGGTCAAATCCACTCGAAATCCTGGCAGAACACACTCAGAGAGGGTAAACTCTGTCTTTATTCCCTCTCTCCCCTCCTTGCCTTTTCTGTTAGAGTTTATCCCAGTGTAGTTTCCTGTGCAATAGCTTTTAACCATTTTCTTTCTCTCTCCCCTTGGGCAAAGGCAGAGATTTAAAAAGGAATGGAGTCAGCAGCAGAGCAGACTTTTGCCTCCAACTGATTGGTTTCCAGGTAAAACCTTCAATGGCTAAAATGCTCAAAGATCACTGCGAGCAGAAGCAAAAGCCCAGGGCTCCTTCCCTGCAATCCAACAGAAGGCTGTAAGGACCAGGCTGGCAGGGACTGAGCTCAGCCAGACTCCCAGCTCACCTTCCCCTGCGTGCACCCCTGCTGCTGGAAGGGCTGTGGCTGGGCACCAGGGTCAGTCTCCAGAGGGGAGCCCAGTGGCCTCGCAGCTCACACCAAAGAGAAAATCACTTCTTGGCAAGTGCTCTCGGGCAGAGGCTACTGCTGTCAAAAAGCAGCACACGCTGCCCTGCTGCCTTCAACCAGACTAGTGAAATGAGGTGTTTTGTGTGTGGCTTGATCCTGTCCACACATAACAAGCAAACTGCTCAAGGGCCTCTTGCACCAAGACCCCGGGGGGCTCAGTCAGAGGCACAACCTGTTTTGCAGCCACAAGTGGGAATCCCTGGTGCACCCAGCAGCTCTCTTGTACCAAACATGTACCAAGTTACGTGCATGCACAGTCCACGAGCAATAGGCATACGTGGCACTTAAGTCTCTGCTTAATGCCTAAACTGTTGAGTCAAGTTTCTAGACTTTCTTTTTTTTTTTTTATAATTATTATTATGGTTGAACTAGATGATTTTAAAGGTCCCTTCCAACCTAGGCGATTCTGTGATTCTGTGATCTTAGCCTTAAGGTCCCAGCGTTCTGCCTCTGTCCCCTGCTCAAGGGGATGCTACTTGATGCTCAAGTCCTCTACTAGATCTCAACCAGCATTCAGAAATTCAAAACTCACATCCGGACTCTGAGGGTCTCTGACTCCTGGAGCAGCCAGGGTGATGGTGTTGTATGATTATACAACACTACAGATCAACACGCACACGTTAGCCTGCAGTTGACACACGAGATTAAAATGCTTTTCTAAACAACCGTGCACCAGCACTGTGAGCACATGCTACCTCTTCACCAGGACTCAAAAGCAAGTTCTCAGGGTGGACATTTCTGTTTCAGAACTGCAATTGCCACTTGCTTATTTAATGCTGCCACTTTGTTTCTCCAGCAAAAGGAGCCCTGTTCCAGCTGTGTATACTGCACAGGATCCAATCAGTACAGCTTGATCCTTTAGCTAAGCTATCACCTCTCTCTTTTTAGTGAGGACACAAAGTGGCTATGGGACATATTTTTGAGGAAATGCAGACAGACAGGATTTTCCAAAGTGCACAGGTATCTGCATAGTTCAAAAAGCTTGACCTTCAGTGGCTTCCACTATAACCCCAAGACAAGACAGATTCGCAGCTAACTACAGGGAGGTACAATTCCAGTTTTGAATTTAAAAAATGCCTATTTTAGTACAGTAGATGCCAATTGTTACAATTAACATTAATCCAAGTCAAGAGATCTATAACAAGCTCTAAAGAAAACGCTAACAGCACTCGTCAGTTGATTCATTCAAGCTAAGCTTTCGTGCTGAAACCACAGGAACCAGCTTTCTTCAGAATCCCAGTATCTCTCCATTCTGCCTTTTCATAAAAGTTAGTTTAAAAAAAAGACAATGATTGAAAATTAATGGATAACTCTCTATCAGGCCACTCCATTATTTTATGGATCCACTTATCTCTTATTTTAAACACAGTATATAAAAAAAAATCTCCTTCACAAGAACAACAAAAAATTGAAATCCCACTTGAATTTCACAATGAAAGAATCCACAGAGAGAACCGACAGTATTTGGGAAGATCAGAGACAGTACGAAGAATGGAATTATATGAGCACTGAGATCAAATCACACTTTATCAGTCTGGCCCTTTTTTTAGGTATAACTGTTAATGATGCCTATAGAGAGAAAACTAGCTTTAGACTGGTTATCCCAGAAGAAACAAGAGCAACCATGCTTTTGCAATAAATCACAATGAGCGCACGGCTCAGAGTTAGCCCACAGTCGAGATATGACTTTCCGAAAGAAATGTCCATTACTGCAGAAGACAAAGGCACTTTCTCACTGTGCTGGCTGAAGTGCTCGGTACTACTAATACAGAGAGTTTTCATCCTGGTGATAAAGGTGCAAATGAAGTAAATACCAGTTTACAGGCTGTTTCTGGCACTTACCTGGCTGAGGTCTGTCCCTGCTCTGAGGCACATCAAACTCCAGAATGACTCCTGTAAACAAAGATCCCCTCAGCTCCTCAACCTGAAACTCTTTGGACTGTACCAAGAACACATCACCAGGGGGGTGTGTCTCGGGATGACCCTTCCAGCCCTGAGTCACAGGGACACCAGGAAACCTTCCCGAGCTGACCTTAAAAAGCAGAGCCTTGTTTACTCCCGGTAGACTGCTTCTAAGCTGTGGCTGTAACTGTGAATGAACTTTTAAAGAAGGAGATGAGGCGAGGCTGTTTGGCAAGAGTTGCAGGCTTTTTTTCGCATGGAAAACAGGGCAGATTAATGTGCACCATGAAAAAAAAATATTCCTTATTAGGAATATATTTAGGAATATTGAATAAAGCCAGTGTCAATGCCTCTTCCTCAGTGTGTCCCTTCTGATAACGGTCCGTCCAGGCCATGGAGAAGAGTCTCCCCCATGTGGGACTCACAGCTGGATGGGGTAGTGTAGACCAGGAGATGCAACAAAATCCGACGGGCAGCTTTGTGCCCTTGACTCCGAGCACTATGGCAAGCCTGTAGCCACAGGAACAGCTCTCACACACTGCCGGGTGCTTTCTCCTGACTTGACTGTTCACAGCCTAGAACTGCCTTATTTTGCTGTTCCCGTTTCACGTGTGGAGGGGGGGAAGCAACCTGAGTGATGAAGAAGCCCCGTCTGGGAGAGGCACAGGGGACTCCAGAGGTCCCCAAGGAGGCTGAACTGCTCCCGGACTCAGCACCACTGAGAACCAGCTCTGTTGATCTCTGATCCATCACAAGTCTGCCCATCCTCACTCAGGTACTTGTCCCATCTTTCTCTTCTCCCTGTGCTAGTAAAGGAAGATACATTGTTTCATGGCACTAACACCACAGTTTAGAACTCAGAAAATACTACGTTTCTCTGTGCTGTGACAAAATTAAAAATGGGACAAAATTAAATTCTCATTAAGAAAGGGTTTTGGAGAAACAAGCTTCTCTCCATACTCTGCTCAGACCCAATTTCATTTTGGGTAAACCCTAAACATTTGGATTAATTTTACATGATTTTTTTTTCATTTGAGGATTGTAATACCTTTATTTTACTGGTATGTGGCTTTTATTTATATTTTAGTAAGTGTAGTCCAATTTTTGAACAGGCCCCATTTCAAAATATGTTACAAAGTTTCTTTTGTACCAGTACTTTTAAATATTCTCCCCAATTTGCCTCCTCCTCATTTTAACATAACTAGTCTAAGTTTCCAAATAAGTCCACTCCTTCTCCCAAACCTTGCTATTCAGCAAATCTCCTATTTGCCTAAAGGAGTTTGGATCTCAGGGGACAAGTTACATCCAGAAAACACTCTGAAGACGAAGTGTTAAGTAGTATCATAAATTTCTGTACTGCAAGGTTCGCTGCAGGACTGTTTGCTCTCCTATAAAGCACTTACCCAACTTCCCTTTGAAGGCATGCTGAAATTTGGACAGAAAGTCCCTGGAAACTGCCACTACAGCTTTAGCATTTAATGAGTAAAAAAGCCCTACATACTAGAGCCATGTGTTTTCAATTCATGATTGAGTAAACAGACCAGAGTTAAGTCATAATAAAAAGCTGACGTCTGACTATATATACCACACATACTTGCGCAGTGCCGGGAAGAACATAAAAAATCCCTTGCAACACAACACAATTCTACTTTTTGCAAGCTGATAATAAATATTGACAGCTTATATAGACATGTTATCACAGTAGCTGCCTTTGATCCAATGTGGAACAAAATCATGAGAACTTTTTCATATGAGTATTAAATCTGGTGGCATAATCCCAGAATTGTATGCAATTTGTCTGGGCTGAGGAGTTGCTCTTGCAGGAAGTTTTGTCAGAAACAAGAATTCCTTTAGACAGGCAGCAAGCTGAGCCATACATGCAGGAACCAAGAAGCAATCAGACAGCTCTGATCTCACTGCAGAACCATGACAAAAAAAAGCTTGTAATTCAGTGGGACTACACCAAAGCATTGAGAGACATGCTCACATACACTGCTGCAGTCTGGAAAAAGGTCTCACTTACTGTGGACAGTTTAACCTTCCAACATAGTACCTGAAATCCTTGGATGTTCCAGCAGCCATTAGCCCCCCTGTTGGAGATGTCCTGAGCACCACCATCACACACTCCTCTAGGCTGTTTTATATCAAAAACTCTGTTGATCTCCACATGTCCCTGGTTTTCCCATTGCTGACTTGCACAGCCTGCTAAGACCTCCCAGAGCAGTGTCCCACCACACTCCACTGCTCTAGACTTGCTGCTTCCAAACCTGGCTCATGCTTAACACCCTTAGACAGCAAACAAAAGCCCAGAGCTAGCCCTTTGTGTAAAGACACGTCACAGCACAAGTAAACAATAGAACTTGCTCCTTCACAAGGCAATACATTCAGCACTTGGCTCTGCCCATATGCTTAGAACCCATCCATACCTCCATAAATACACACCCTCCCCTACAAGGAGACACCTTACCATCTGTACAACTCCACATCCACAAGGAACTCCAGCACCCCTCAGTCCTGGTGCCAGCCACAGGACCCACTCCTCACACCCTGCAGCACACCAGCCTTCCCAGGGCAGCACAGCCCAGGCTGCAGCACGTGGCCTAATCAGCGCTTCTCCAGCTCTGCCTAATGCAGAATCACTCACAGCTGCAGAGAGGACACAGCTTGTGCTACAACCAGGCAGTTAATTACACAGCTGCCAGAGACTACGAGTGATTGTCCTCTGGCTCTGCCTTCTGGTGGGGCAGCAGAAGGCTTCATAGGAGGATACACAGGACAGCCATAGGGTTGCCAAGGCACTGGGCAGTGCTCCTGAGCAATTATTAAAGTGGTTAAGAGGTGTTCCAAGTAAGGATGCTAGTGGGTATCATCATTAATTGTGGCTACTAGAATAAATGAACTGTAGTGACCAGACAAGAAGTTGGGACCCTTCATCCCCAGCAGTAAATGTAGCACATTTGCCACTTGCATCTGGCTCAGCTCTGTTTGGGCTGCTGTATCTCTGAGATCTGAACAAAACAAACACTAGCAAGATCATAACAAACCTGAACAATGCTCAAAGCTGGTGGAAGCAACAGAATTTGAATAGGCTATAGTCCAAAGCCACCCTATTTTATTAATTCAGTTTTTACAGCATCATGCTGTCTAGAATCAAGCATTGTTCCTCTCTTCCCACCCAACCCTGATCTAGGACAGCTGCTCCTATGAAAACATGCTCTTCACAAAGGATGCAATAGCAAGGTCTTCTTCATGCTAAAGGACTTTTTGGTTTCACAGTTTAGGCCAGTTCCAGATTGCTCCAACAGCTGTTCTCACGCCTGTCAGAAAAGCTACTACTTCAAGGTGTCTAGGTGGCTTTGCCCCACTCGTGACTATTTATCACAGAAGGCTGCAACCTGTATGTAACATTGCAAATACACTCCACTGTCAGGTTCTCGTGTCCCACCAGAGCTACATTCATCTATTATTCACTCAATTTCATGGGGCAATTTTTTAATAAAACATTAGGTGGTTTCCAGCAGAGATTCTACTTAAATCCTACATGTTTACTCTAGTCTTTCTAATTTAAGCAGTTTTGTACAGAGAAGAGCCCAAGAGGCAGAATCTGAAAACTAACCAAGATTCACAAAAGACTTTCAGACTTGTGTATCCAGCTGAGGTCTGATTCTGCTTGATAACAGCATTTTAAATCTGGATCACTCATCCCTTTATCTTGGGATTTTGATACTATCTTCCTTCATATGTTCTTCCATAGCATAAACGACAGGAGGGATTGGAGGAAGGGATTAGTCCCAGACTGATGGTTTGCTGGCAGTGAACCCTCAGCACAGTAAAAGGAAGATAACCCCTAAAACAGAGGGCACAGGAGGGGCTGTGCTTTGCCCCTGCCTACATCTGTCAGAGAAGCTTTTTCCCTACGGAGCCTATGTGGCAGGATTTATCCCCCAACGACCTTAATCACAATCATATGAAAAATTTCTAAACATTTAGAAAGATTTGAAGCGGGCATTTTTCAGGCAGGGTGGTTGCAGGGGGAAAGGAGGCTGAAGATGAGCGGGGCAGACACAGCCTGAAGGAATAGCCCCAGGACTTTCCTGAACAGACACAACCCTGGCCTAGGAGCCCTTCAGAGCCCGGCTCTCCCTCGGGCTCCAGCAACACCCAGTCCACTGATGGCGTGCCGTGGGTGCACCCTGCGACCCCGGTGAGACCCCAAGGAGCGGCAGGGCCCGCTGTACGTACCCAACACCACCTCTCTGAGCGAAAGGCCTCCTCTGCCGAGGCGAGGGCACGAGGGGAGCGCTGACCGCCCACGGAGGGGGCTGAGAGGGGCTTCTGCAGGTGGGTGGCTGGGGAGGCCATCCCACACCCTCCCCGGGTGAGTAAACCTGGGCTATCACCTGCCACTTCATCACCTCGCTGCTGACTGAGAGCGCTCCGCACCGGGCTTGTGAGAGGAGTCCCTTCCACAGCCGTCCAAGTTCTCGGGGAGAGCCCCGCGGCCCGGAGAGGGCGACCGAGTTCCGGGAGCTTCGGGGCCATCCCGGCGCGAGGCAGCACGACCACGCGCCGCCTCACGGGTCTGGGCCGGGAGGCGCCGCCGCCAACCGCTAGGTGGCGGCCTCGCCCAACGGTGCGCGAGCGGCTAGGAGCGCCGGGCGAGGAGGCCCCGCCCCGCCCCGGGCACCGCCCGCCGCCATCTTGGTACAGCGGGCGGCGGGAGCGTGATGGGGGTGGAAGCGCGGGGCTGCGGGCAGCGGGCTTATAGAGTCACAGGATGGTTAGAGTTGGAAGGGACCTTAAAGATCACCTGGTTCCAACCCCCCTGCCAGGGGCAGGGACACCTCCCACTAAACCAGGTTGCTCAAAGCCCCATCCAGCCTGGCCTTGAGCACCTCCAGGGATGGGGCATCCACAGCTTCTCTGGGCAACCTGTGCCAGTGTCTGACCACCTTCACAGGAAAGAATTTCTTTCCAATATTTAGCTAGATCTCCCCTCTTTCAGTTTAAAATGGTTATGCCTCATCCTATCACTACACTACCTGACAAAGAGTCCCTCCCCATCTCTCCTGTAGCCCCTTTAGATACTGGAAGGGGCAATAAGGCCTCCCCAGAGCCTTCTCTTTCTCCAGCTTGAACAACCCCAACTCTCTCAGCCTGTCCTCATAGGAGAGATGCTCCAGCCCTCTCATCA